CTGCCAAATGGAGCCGAGTGGTTTTTTAACCTTCCTGTTGCATTGGAGTCATCTGGCTGCCTTTGCTCCATCTTCTTCCTTCTGTCAGTCTTGTTAGGTCTCTCTCATCCCACTAAGAGGGCTAATCACCAACAACACTCAGGTTTCACTCTAGTTTCACAAGTTTCAGGGTGTAGAAGCAGGACCTGGTGATAGGTGGGCTAGAGAAGCAGACTGAGGCTTAAAGGATATTACTATTAGTCCTGAGGAAGTAGCCACTGAGGTATGTTAATGTGGTGAGCCATACTGGCATCCTGAGGCTTAGGACCACTCCAATAGCTGCTGTATATACAGTGAATGGGAAGGGAAACAAATCTCCCCAGACCTTCTCATGCCTCCTTTGTCCCTCAGCTGGTGACCTTCTTTGCTGCTTAGCATTACCCCCAGTCTGAGAAATCTATAAGGGAAAATCTGGGTTTCGGGTCTCTGAGCTCCTTGTAGGTACTGAGGTGATCTGCTGTCTCAGAAAGCTGGGTATGATGAACATAAATACTAGGACCTTCCCATCTCTTTGCTGTGCTCCCATCCTATCATCAGAGAGTCAAAAAGACAGTCAGGGTGAAGCAATGAAGAAGTGCTAAGTGGAAAGCAAAGGGCTGGTCTCCAGAGCATCTGTGCTTTGGCATTGCCCTCTGGGGGCTTTCTGCAAGTTCCTGTTCCAGTTGATGAAAACAGAGCTCTACAGTGAAGAAAGTGCTGACTTAACACAAGTGTTTGCAGTCACTGGAGCTATTTATATAAATGCACAAATACGAGGATAATGGAGCTGGGGTTTTGTGTGAACACCACTTAGTCTGACAGCTGGGAAGAAGCTACTTGCATTTCTGACTCCTCCAAACACAGCCTGGCTCTGAGTGTGCACATGGCAGCCTCAGTTGGATTATGGCTACACCTGAACCTGTTTGCCCCTTCCTGGGAGTGAAGAGAGTGGAGTGTGAGGGTGACCTGTCTTCCCTAGTGCCTTTTCATACCTACCTTGTCCCTAGGAACTTTAGGACAGCCTGGGTAGCCATCAAAAGCTCCTAACTTGTGGAAACAAAATGAATCACTTATGTTGGTTCATTTTGTTAGCGTGACACAGGCTAGTTTTATCTGGGAAGAAGAACAGTCAATTGAGAAATGCCTCCATAAAATTGGCTTGTGGCATATTTTCTTGATTGATGACTGATGTGGGAGGGCAGTGTCACCCCTGGGCTGATGGTGCTGGGTACTATAAGGAAGCAGGCCTGGCAAGTCATGAGCAACAGGCCAGTAAGCAGGACTCCTCCATGGCCCTTTCTTCAGCTCCTGCCTCTAGGTTCCTGCTCGGAGTTCCTGCCCTGATTTCCCTCAGTGATTGTGACCTGAGAGTTGTAAGTTGAAATAAGCCCTTTCCACTATAGGCTGCTTTTAGTCCTGGTGTAATATCACAATAAAAGAAACCCTGACCTTCTAAGACAATCTCTATACACTTGGTGATAGATTGGTCAGTAGTCTGAGACTGGGCACATAGGCATCTGGGCAGTGAAAGAACCATTAAGCTATAAGCCTGAGTACTGTAATGCTGGGTTCAGAACAAAACAGCGAGGTAACAGCCTTATCTCTGTTTACTGTCAGATGCCAATTCATCAGAATCTCAAGGAGCTACTGACTATCAAGGCTGAGCTACAGAAGCAGGTAGAGGACTTGCATCGGGAGGTGGCCACACGGACAATCTCATCTTCCTCTGAGAGGGGCTCCTCACCTACCCACTCAGCTACTCCTGTACACACCTCAGTCTGATGAAGAAAGCCAGTGTCCCAGGCCATCCTGCTGCTCTGCCATCTTGCAGCAGCTCAGGGACCTGGCCTTTGATGTTATGGTTCTAGCTTGTCATCTTAGCTCTTAGGATTAGGCCCAAGGACCATTTGTGGGTGGTGAAAGTTCCTATTATTAACAAGTACTTTTGTGTGAACAGCCTGTGACCCTTTTGAGGGCAGCCTCACCCTGTGAACCACCTTCGTCTTGTACAGGTATTTTGGGAGAAACTAGATTGAATGCAGTGCGATATTTTAACTTAAGAGAATCTGACATCACTTCTTTCCAAGTTACATCCTTTGTTATGAACAACACGTTTACTTATAGAACACATGACCAGCCATGTGGCTCCTCTCAGCCTTTTGGCACAATTTAAAAACTGTTTTAAATGAAATATTAGTGTGGCAAATGAATCACTGCCACCTGTTCTACAGTTATCAGTTATCTTCATGCAAGAAGTCCTCCTGTACAATTGGTACAATATGTACTGCTGTGTACATATAAGGTATTTTTTAAAGAGAAACATGCCTTTATTTTCCTACGTCCTTTTTTATGTTTAGAATAGTTGTCTGAGGAATCATCTGCTAAAACTGTGCTGTATGAGAAATTCTTTCCCAATGGAGTCCATGCTGCCTTTTGTGTGGTACATTTGAATTAAGATTTGAGGTGTGTCATCTCAGTGGCAATGTAGTATTGTCCTCTAACTCTGGTACTTGTCTTTTGAGGTGGCACAGCCCATTCATTCATTGGAGGTAGCAGGTTCCCTCAGGATGCCAAACTATGAATGCTCAGTCCTCTGGCCTTGTTGCAGGCAAAATGAAGACTCAGGTAGCAACTCTGTACATTCGTTGGCCTCCCTCTATGACAGCTCTCTAAAGGAACAAGTCTTGAAAATTGCTTTGGCATCCTACCACCTGTTGGATGCCCAGCATCAATGTCAGATCAAGTCTTCTTTCACCTGTTAGACACCCGGACAGCTTGTTTTCATTCATCATGATCTCTTCTCAGTTGATTTACATGATTGCCTGTCCATATTTTAAGGCAACCATACTTTAAGGCACTGCAGCTTGGATTGGAAAGCATAGCATGCTTTTCCTTGGTTTTCCCCTCTTGGAGCCAGCCTTGGCTAGGCAGACCTCTTTCCACAGTTAACAGCTTTGAGCTCTGCTATTTCATCAGTCCTTCTAGAAATGAATTTCCCATCAGCTTCAATGTGTGCAGTGCCAGCATACCCACCCCCACCACCATGCCCATTTCTGTGTGTCACCAGGCCCTTCAGAGTTGGGAGATGTGTTTGAGGCTGACCAAGTTAGCCTCTGAGGACACATGGGTCATATCTTCCTCTTGTCAGTGTCAAATCACTGGATGCCATGCAGTCCTAACATTGACCTCGAGTTTCAACATGAATTCTTAAAAGAGGTTTTTTACAGCCAAATGCATAGAAAATAGATGATTTTTCAACTTCAAAACTTCTGATTATTACAGAAAACTATCCAACCATAACATAACCAGAGACATTTATTCAAGGAAGTTTGATAAGCTATGATCAATTCTCCATTTTTATCATCTGGGGGATTTGTTTCTAAACTACAGTGTAAGTGATATTAGCTTTTGATTTGTGTTCATCATAGATACAAAACCTTATTTGTAAATGGATAAACTTCCATATCTGAGGTAGGAGAAGCTGTGAGTTCAGGGTCAGCTTTGGCTACATACTGAGTTCTGGGACAGCTGGCCTATATTGTGGAACCCTGTCTCAAAATCAATACCAAAAAAAAAAAAATAACATGAACTATAATATTTTTCTTCATATACTTTTTTTTAAAACTGGGGACATTTTCCAATTTTTCCCTAGAAATACTGTATACTTTCCCAGCGACACTAGTATTGTTGAACATAGAGTGGATGATGTTTTGATAGAACCAGAGCAGCCATGGGGACTGCTGCTTGGTAAGGTCAGCTAGCCTGGTCCAGATGGCTGGTGAACTGGGGATTTGGCTCCTGTTCAAGCCATGTCCTCCAAGCTGCATGCCTGAAGCACTCCTAAAAATGTCCACTGGATTTTAAAGAAGCACAACCGAGTATTCCCCTTTGTATGTTTCTAGCACAGAACTGTTTCTAAAACAACTTGAAGTATAGTTTTCTTATCCAAGCAATTCTTTCATGTATGTTTTATTTAAGTCCTAGAATGTAAAACCTTTAAGGTTCAGGTTTTTAAATGAGTACAATACTGTATTTGTCTCATCTGATGCACTGTATTTCAACTTGTAATTAAAATGATAAGATGTTTGTTCCCAAGTCTCTTTGTTTGTCTCTGTGTTTTTCAGTAGTTTCTTACCCCTGAGAAAAATGAGTACTAAGAAAGTACTATGTGTTGAATGCTTACCTTGTGCATGCCACACTTTAATATATGTAAAGTGCCCAATAGTAGTTGATTGACTTACTAAGTTGTCAGTAATTTGTTGTGAGTCTTGAGTGTTTGGGCTAGAATAGGTAGGTGATCTGATTTTTAAATCAGCAAGTCCCCTTGTTCATAACCTTGAAGAAATGTTGAAGACAGAGAAAGGCCTGGAGTAACCAGAGGCAGTGTGTCTTCCTTATACAACTGTATTGTTCTCTTCATTGATTCTTGCCAACTCTGTGGGACCGTGGACTTTTTCAAGGTTCTAAAAGTTAGTATGAAATTACACCACCTCCTCTATGTAACCATTCTTTAAAGGCCTGACATTGCTCATCCTCTTCATGTGAATCAGGGTATTAGCAAGAAAGCCCAATATTAGGCATAAGAGGGTTGGACTATCTCCCAGTATACCTTCCATAACAGTGCCTCACAGTAGAAAGCACACTCATTACTGGCTCACTTTTTAGGATTGAGCAGTATGTTCTAAAGCTACCTGGGTAGCAGAGACAATGCTGATCCTACTAAAGGACTTGATGCTGTGGCAAGAGGGCTCTGCTCCAACCTCCCTCTCCTCATCCAAGTATACCAGACATGTCCTGCTGTAGTTCCTGTACTACGGGGGCCCACCAGCAGAAGCCCTGGGATCAGGTACTTTGTGGAAGGAATGATGGCAAAAATGCCAATCTGCCCAAGACACACCTTTAGCTGGGGAAAAAGGGAATGAAGTCAGCACCATATCTCAAAGACAGTAGGAAAAGACAGATTGCATCAGGACATAAGGAGCTGTTAGATTCCACTTTGTTTAATGCAAACACAAGACCATTTACAATTCACACTTGGACACAAGCACGTAAAACAATGTACAGGGATTCTGGCAATCTCCAGCATGTCTTCCTCAGAGAACTGGTACTAACCACAACCCAAGTGGCTGAGGCAGTGGGCCTGCCCCACACCAGGGTAGGCAGCCTCCTACATCAAGCCACTTGATGAGCATTTTTAAAGTTCTTCCTGTCAAGTTTCACTGATCGAGATCTGATCTTGCCAATTGGCTCTTCTGCTTCCTTTTCTCCCTTCTATCACCTGGGACTAGCCCAAGTTGGTCAACTCAGCCTTCAGGTGGGACACAGATACAGGACCAGTCCCAAGCCTTCTGCAGGCCACAATGCCCCACCAAGTATAAAATGCCAGTGAGAAGGAGGAGCCCGGCCCCTGGGATGAAACTGTATGAACAGGAGGCCGATGGCCCGCCCAGGCCTGTCCAGCCACTTAGCTAGCGCCTGCGGGCTGAGTGATGGGTTTTATGCAGAAGGGCTTTATGCAGAAGGCACCGAGGTAGCTAAGGGAGAGCAAATTAGAGCTCTTTTTCACTGGAACCAGTGCTATTGAGAAAACAGTTTAACAAGAGGGCATTTATTTTACATCATGGCCGTGAGGTTGAAGGGCTTTGCTATCAGACAGGCCTCAGCATAAAGGTAGACAACCCCTCTGAGATTACCCTAGCTACATGTCAACAGACCAGAAATACTAAAATCCTTCCTTAAGCTACCTCTAACTCAGCACTGGCCAAACAGTGGCACCATCATCTCTTGATGTCCTTGGTGTCAGTAAGGAACAATCCTGACAAAGTTGACAGCAAGCTAACAAGCAAGTTAGGAGGGTCTAGAAAATGACACATCTTGTAAGTAATGCCTCCTTTGCTAATTCCTGAAGAGTAAAAGGGGCTTCCTGAGGCCAGGCGCTTCTTTTTTTTCATCTTGGTGTCATTTCCCCCAGTGCTCCAGCTTCCCTATTGGATCCCCAGACCTGGACTGTCTGGGACCAAAGACCAAGCAAAAGGGGCATGTCATCGTCCACAGGTATACACCTGGAATGGGTGTTCAGGCTGTCTGGAGACATGACACCAGCAGCAGCCCTCCACTATATATAGTCTTTAAACACTAGACACACTCAAGGCATGCATTAGACAGCACAAGAGTTCAGTAGTTTCTTAAGGTGGGTGTTACCTTTTCCCAGCTCAGCAGAGGTGAAGGGGCCAATTCACAGCCTGTGGAATATATGGGGCCAATCATGTCGTCCAGAGGAGCTGTGGATCTTGCCTTCCCAGTGACACACTCTGCTTTCCGAAGTGCTTTTGACATGGCAAGCTATTAGTTCACATGGGGTAGAAGCTAGCTTAGCTTTCACTTGCAGGGTTCACTATCAAGTTCACTGGAGTCAAACAATTCAGGAAGCAGGTAGATCCAGCCCAAACTAGGGGTAGCAGTCAGCTCTGGCCCCTTGGTTTCCTGTATTTACTACTGTGAACATGGTCAGAGCCCTCTTCAGAGCAGACAGGGAGGAGAGCTACACAACTACAAAGACAGCAGCGATGTTCCACTCAGCTAAGCCAGCATCCCTTCCCCTACCCTCCCCCTTCCCTATCCACTTCTAATAAAACAACATGCATACTTCTGGTTTCCATGATCATTCTCAGGATCTGTAGCTCTTGCTACTCAAATAAGATTCATGTACAGGGTAGGAGTAAACACTCACCCTGACCTGGTAGAAAGTTCATTTGTAGGAGTGACTTCCAAGACCTGTTACCACGCCAGCCAGAGATCTCTATAGAATCTGATGGGAATCAAACCTGCAAGTCACAGCTCCCACATGCTCCTTATTCCTAATCTTGGGCTAAGACTATTGTGAGACATGTTTTCACTAAAATAACTGAAGAGCCTTCACCTGAACAAGCTCCCTGGAAGCTGAACAATAGAAAACCTGAAGTTGGGAAGAACAATCAATTTTTTTAAAGTGCCTAGGTGTTATGTGTGTGTATACATGTGTATTACATGTGTGTGCTTGTGTGTGTCCGTGTGTGTATGTGTGCATGTGTGCTTGTGGCTGTGTGTGTGTGTGTGCGCGCGCACGTGCACGGACGCACAATGCAGCTTGGTGCTGTCTGATTTGTCTCAAAATGGGTTTCATATGTATCAGATGCCAGTTGAACATGCTCCTCAAAGCTGCTAGTGGTCAATACTACAACAACCCACTATAGCATGTAGGTAGTTTCATAGTACCTAGATATTGCTTAACTAGAAATGTTCTGCAGTGCTGCCCCATCTTCTGGTCCTCCCCTCACCTTGGGCACCTTCCTTTTCGCATGCTAAAGGTGGATCAGGCTGTCTCTATGACCCAGAGACATTCAAAGCTGGTGCTAGTAATCTGCTGAATCTGGGTATCAAGTCTCAGCACTGAGTCTCTTCAGAGGACTCATGGCAGAACAGTCATCATAGTCTGCAGGACAGGGCACAGAAACCACACTCATGAACACCTAAGGCTTGTCCAGAAAACTCAATACAATAAGAAGCCAGTGGCATGGGAAGAAACTTGGGGAAAGGATTGGCAAATGAAATCCGGAGCTGGGTCACAAGCGGTGGCTCCCTCCATATGCACCTGCCACTGAACAGGGCCTCAAATCCGGGGTGGCTCAGGTGGTGGGGGCTCTGCAGACTGTGTTTCTTGTTTTAAGTATGTCACTAGGGAGAGAAGACATCTGTTAGCAGGGTTTCACCTTGGCTCTGCCCAAGTCCCTGTTAGAAGTTTCGAACTATGCTGTGTGAGCAGTTCAGGACATCCCAGGCCTGCTCACTGTCCCCTGTAGGATTGCCATGGGCCCTGCATACCAAGTTCAGGGTGGGCCAAGGGAAGCAAAGGCAGAAGCCTGGCATGCTAAACAAAAGAGCTCTGCCTCCGCTCCCCATCTACAGAATGGACATTCTTCTGTCAAGACTTCAAGATCAATGGATCTAAAGCAGTCCAAATAGTACCCATTGCTAGAGTATTCGTTCAGTATTGGTTACAGTGTTAAAATTTTGACAGACGATGCTCCTTTAGATTCCACAACTCTACATTTGCATTCAGGATCATCTCCATGCATTTGGTCCTGCAGTACCAGATAACTTCTAGAAGCAGTGACCTGGAGACCTCATTCTCCATTATGAAACAGGTAAATCCAGGTCCTTTCTTGGCACCCAAGCTCCATAGCTGTTGTCCTGTAGCTGTGGTCTCCTCTCATTTCCTTGTCTGAAGGGGAGCAGGCTTACCTCCCTGCTTCTTCCTCAGTGTTCCTGGGCATGGCTCCCTCTCATTTGGCCTTACCAAATGTGGCCTCTAATTGCTGATAGTCCCTGAATCCTAAAAGTGTTCAGTGACCACAGAGGAGGTAACAGAACATCTGGCTTTTTAACTGTCTTCTTGTCTTTGGCCATTTTCTAATCAAAAAGCCTAGAGACAGATATGGACCCACACCTGTAATCCCAGCATTCAGGAGGTAGAAGCAGAGGATGAAGAATTCAAGGCTACTTCCACCCAGCTACAATAGTGAGTTTGAGGCCAGCCTTGACTACTTTAGACACTGTCTCAAGCATACAACAACTAAAATCAAACAGAATGCAAGTCTAGAAGCAAAATTTTCTCCTGGATGAGCATGCCCAGGATGCATGTGGGTCTGCTGGCAAAGAGGTGAGGCATCCCAGGCTCACAGTCAGGTGATTCAGTAGTTGAGGCTGAGCAGCAAAAGCTCCCAGAAGTCATAACAATGGCACAGTGTCCCCATTCTCAACAAACTGGGAGGCCAGATGATCAGTCACAGGATACAGGTAGACTTGGGCCCCGAAGGTTTTTATGATGGATAGACATTCCAGAGGCAGATTCTCCTGGGCCTCCCTAACTCATTCTATTCAGTGCTGGGGACACTGAATTGAAACCCTTCATCAGGGACAGTGACTGAGAAGTCCTCACCTTGGGGTTCCTCACACACAACAGCTTCCAGGTTCTCCCCCTTCACGTAGTCTGCATTGAGGCCCTCTGCAAAGATCAAGAGCAAAGCAAAGGAAGCACAATGAAATGAAGGAGCCCTCACGATTGAGAACTGGTCACTGAGTCCCCTATGACAATAAAGGCTGCCAGGATCAGCTCTGGATCACCAGAACATTGTCTTCTAGATAAAGACAGGCCAGTAAGAAGCACAATGCCCAGGACTTCTCGTCACCATCCTTGCAAACAGCATCATGCATCAAAGGCCCAAACCCCATCTGTAAAGAGCCACAGACAGGGCACCAGATGACTGGGCTCTGGACTATCCATAGGACCACCTGAGTCCTGGAGGCCAGGGAGGTGGAGAGGGAGCCAAGAGCTGAGGGAATGACTGATAGATGCAGCGTTAGGAAGGGCAGATGGATGTGCAAGGATCACTCTGGAAATGCCAGTAGATGGCCTTCCCAGGAGCATCTGTATGCACAAGGAAGCCAACTGACTTCTCCAGGCCAGAGGAATGACTGCTGTCCACACCTGTGCTTAGAGGGCCCAGGGTCCACAAAGAGCTATTCTGGTCTAGCGTGTGAGCTAGGCTCTCCCCATCCCCAATCTCACCCTATCCTCAAAGGCTACGCAGCAATTAGATAAGGAATCCTCTTCACTCAGCCAAAGGCCATTCAAGGAGTTGGAGCAGCCCCACACCAATGGTTTCTTAAAAGTCAATCTTCTGTGTCTTCTCTCCGAATAACCCAAGACCTCTAGGGAAAATGGGTTCTGATGCTAAGTTATCAATTCCCTGGACACAAGTCATGTTCCTGGCTTTTATCTGACCTGATAGCTGTTGGGCTCAAGGTGAAAGCCAAATGGGCCTGTGAAAATGTGGGTGATATTCTCTGGCAGGGGTGGTTAACTACCATGCAAAGCCAGCCAGCTGATAGCCCCAGTGCCAATGGATAGAATCTGGGAGATATGCTCTGGGCCTCCAGACTACTGTCCTTATTCCTACTTAGTGAGCAGGAGATACCTCTTTTCCTTCAGTGGCTTCTGGGAGATATTCACCCATGGATATCTGAGTCTCCCCTCCCCACCCCCATGAACATCCATAACTGCAGCCATCTTGGGCCTGGGAGTAGATGATATATAGCAGGTGGCACCCTCACAACAAATCAGAAAAAGCTCTAGATGGTATGGTCACAGGCAAGTTGATGGATGCCAGGGAGAGAAGAGATGTAGCTAGCAGGGAGGGGATAATGAGGGGTCTGGGGCCAAAGCACAAGAAACAGTAGTTAATCAAAGCACAGTGTTACCTGGACCTTCTGCTGCATCTGAAAGCAAGACAGGAAGCTTAGAAGCCTGGAGTAAGAATTTAGTTCCAGGCAACAAACCTATTTTATGAGTATTTTATGAGATTTACTGACACTGCACTGAGGACAGGCAGAGAAACCAAATGTTCCCAAAGTGGAAACCCCTCTGGTAGCAGCAGAGGCTGGAGGCCAAAGAGGTGAGGGCAAGTCCTCCTAGCAGCCACCTTCCACCTCCTTGGGGCTTTCCATCTGACTTTCTTGACTGCCAATCACTGAAGGCCATGGCTGCCTCTGACCAGCAAGACAGCTCAACAGTTGAGATTAGAAGCAGACACCCCCGCTTCTTACAAAGTTGCCACCCACATGACCACCCTTGGGACCCTTCCTGATTGTGGATCAGCACAGTGCAAGTGGCAGTCACATTGCTGCACAAAATGGGCAGTCCAGAAAGATGTGAGCTTGGTGTCTAGTCACAGACAAGGAAACTGCAGGCTAATCCAGGCTGGAATGAGGTCAGCAGGGGGCACTGTGGCAGCACAATGAAGTATGCCTGGGAGACTGGCCAGAGAGAAGGCTCCTTGGGAAAAGACATCCCAACCAGGGCAGAGAAGAAACAGCAATGGCTGTACCCTGAAGAAGGCAGAGCATACGGAAAGGAAAATGACTACAAAGAAGCCAAATGGCTAGGGCTTTGAATGCCACGTTCAGTTCAGGGCCTGAGCTGTGATCTTGTAGTCATCAGGGAATCTGGGGAAGTCCAGGTCTTTTTAAACAGGTCCCCCTGGAGAAGGTGCAAAGTGTAAGGAACACTAGTGGAAGGCAATAGTAAGACAAAAGCATGCTTGTGACTCATGGAGAGTAGGCACTGCAGGGCTCCCAGACCTAGATCTAGCATGAAGGACAGACACGGGAGTGGGAGAGACAGTGAAGTCCAAGTTCAAAGCCCTGTATAAGCAAGTCGGTCTGCCTAGCCGGCTTGTTCGACTTGTGAACCATCATAACTGCCATGTCTTTAACAAAGCAAGTAGGCTGGATGAGGGCTGTACCCAGACTCTCCCAGTCTCCCTCCTTCCTGTGACACTGAGACTCTGGCTGAAGCCCCTCCACCTCATGAAACTATGCTAGGCTTCCCATCCCCATTGGCACTCTACCACCTCATTCATTTAACCTGTAATTGTTATTTATCTACGAGAGGGATCTTTGCTGACACTATTAATTAAGGATCTCAAAATGACTGTATTTACAATTGAAGTTGGAGACAGCATTAAAGTAATGTAGTCACAAGCCAAGGAACACCTGGATTTCCTAAAAGCTGAAAGATGGGGTCTCTGCAGGGAGTGTGATCCTACAAGTTCCTGTTTGTAAGATAAGGCCTTATATGATATAGCCCAGGCTGGCCTGGAACCCACACCATCACACAAACTGCCATGGTAATCACACAGCAAACCCCTTGCCTCAGCCTTACTAATGCTGGGGTTACAGGCATGTGCCAGCATTCTGGCTCAGAAAACAAGTTTCAGTTGCTTGAAATCACAGCAGTTCTCTGGCATGGAAACCACAAGAACCTTGGGCAGCTGAACAGGGTAAGAGTGTTCACTAGTGAAGCTTTCTGGTGTAGCCTGATGGCTCCCACACTGGGGAAAGGAGAGACTTTGGTCTGAAGAGCTCACAACCCTTTCATTGTTAAGGCCCAAGCCTAGACTGGCTTCCCTGACCACACGAGAGCATCACTGCACAGGTCACTGGCTGATAGTTAACAAAAAAATATTTCCTAAATGGAATTAGTGACTTTGATCAGTCATACAGAGTAGTAAGTTTCTCCTAGTTAATTCTCAACTTCACCTCTACGTAGCTCATGGTTAACAAAGTGTTATCTTTTGAACTTTTTACAAGGCTATCTTGAGAATACTTATCCAACCTTCTGCTTCCCTCCTCTAGCCAGCAAGAAGCAGAGCTGCTCTCCCCAAATACCCTTGGACCCGGACCATGGCCCTTCCGTGATAAGATTATATAAAGATTGCAGACCCAAGAGCGGCCACCTGCCTGCAGGAGGAGAGCCACCAGGTGTCTGGAACAGAAACTCCTGACGTTCCCTTCATCTTCCAAGACACCAAGAATGAGGCTGGAGAAGGTGGGAACTATACCTATCTTCTCATCTCCTTGGTCCAGGCACAGCCTAAGAGAGTATCAGACAGAACTGCCTCCCAACACCACGTACAACCTGGGCCCCTTGCCCATTGTGTCCAAAAAGTCTCTCTCCAAATATTCTACCAGGTCCAGAGTCATCCTTGGCCTAATGTGAGCCATCAGTGGGTGTAACACTCATATTTTTTCAGCAATTAGAAAGTCTCTTTGCTTTACAGTTGAGGGGAGCAGGAAGAGGTACAGGAATTCTAAACTTTACCCCAATATTTCCTTGTTCTTAACCACTCTACCATCAAACTTGTGGATCATGTGCATGTGGGTATCCTTGATGAAGAATGTTCTAGAAGAGCAAAGGAAAAAGGCAATAAGGTGGTCAGATGAAGAAACAGTTGTAATGCTCACACTCAAAACATACCAGGATCCAAGTTAATTTCCTGGAAGTCTCAGGTCCAGGTTCCACAATGAGCAGAGGCTCATAACCAGAACATGAAGAAACAGAAGGAGCCCTAGGCTTCCCAGAAAATCAAAGAATCTGAGGAAAGTGAGGAGAGGCCAAGTATGGCTGAGTCATGTCCCCTCCCTGGAGTAAAACTTATCAGCCCTGAACTACAGGCATTCTGCTTAAGCAATGACATACTGTTGCCGTGGTACTAAAACCAACAGATTCATCCTCACAGCCTTGCTCCCACAGTGTGTCAATAGGCTTCTAAGACTGGAAACCCTCAGGAACTATGTGATTTTCCCACAGGTGCCCTACTGCAGCCCACAAGAAAAGCCATCTGGTTTCTAAAATTCCAGCACATAGAGGGCAGGAATGAAAAATCACTCTGACTTCTCTTTCATCACTATTCCTTAAAATAACTTAAGAGTTCATACAGTTTAAATGATCTAACTGGAGGAGGAGCAGGGGGCACCCACATACTGATATATCAAGAAATCAAGATCAGAAAGGGGCACTGCCAGAATCATAAGGGGCCTGAAGATGCTCACTACCATGTCAAAGAGACTTTGGGAGTCCATAGAACTCTGGTTGGCAGTAGAGGGGGCTGGTGGCACTGAGCCTCTGAAGGCCCAACATCCCCTTGGGTGAGGTCTGAGGCCTCAAGTATTTATTGGGGTTCCTCCCATTCTAGGTAAATAAAAGAGCACAGTGCTCACTGAGCTTTGTCCCAACAAAAGTATAGCCTCTTCTAGCTGAGATGCCTGCAAAATCAGGATCACATAGTATGACCCCATGTGTACTTCCAGACCAGAATAATCTTTAGTTTGTCCTAAATTTTCCCCCAAGGATGAAACAATGTACCTGCTAGGAAACCTACTGGTGTTGACTAGCTTGGGGAAGGGATGAGAACTTGCTTGGGCACCTTTCCCTGCTCAGGTGTGTACTTACGCTGAATGCTGAAGCAAAACTTCTTCTGCTGGTAGGAGATGTAGCTGGATACAGCTCCAATCAGGGCCATAGCAAGGGCACTGGCCACACCTGCGATGGTGCCAGTTTCTGTTGATATGCCTGGACATGGAAGAATGGACAGAGCTGAATAGACAAGGCCACAAACTACAGGATTCTGCTGCTCTGATAGTCTCAAGTTATGCTGGCTCAGATGTCTATTCATGTAGAAGAGCTATGCCATAGATACCCAAAGCATCATAATGACATGGACCACCTAACCCCAGGGCCGAGATCTTCATGTTACTTCCACTCAATGGCTACTCCTTTCTGCTATTTGACTCATGATATTACTGATAACTATGGTGGGCTGGATGTAAATGATTCCCCACCAAAAGCTCTGGAGTTGAATACTGCCCCTTAAATGCAGCAGTAGGAAGCAGTAGGGCCTTTAAGAAGTAATTGGATCATGAGGTCTCCACTGTCAACAAGGAATGGGACTGTAGTGGAATGGATTTCAGGGATTGTTATATAGCCAGTATTGATTTCTAGGAACCCCTTTGCAGCCTAGGTGTCTGCCATGATGACCCACCTCTCCACAGGAGCAAAGGCAGAAGGGTCAAGTAACCATGAACCTGAACTTCCAAAATCAAGAGCAACCTAAGTTTTTTTTTTTTAATTTATTTATTTATTATTTGTAAGTAAACTGTAGCTGTCTTCAGATACCTCACAAGAGGGCATCAGATATCATTACAGATGGTTGTGAGCCACCATGTTTTTGCTGGGATTTGAACTCATGACTTCTGGAAAAGCAGTCAGTGCTCTTAACCACTGAGCCATCTCACCAGCCCAACAACCTAAGTTTTATCTTCTTTTAAATTATATATCTTTAGTACTTTTTATGGTGATGGAAAGATTACTAATAGAAACATTTGGGGAAGGGCAAGGAAGAGCAGCTCTAAGACCAGAGTAGGCCAGCGTTATTTTCCCTTGTGGTTGCAATAAAAACTTTGGTCCACAGATACCCACCAGATCCAGGATCATCGTTGCTTCCATAACCACCACCACCACCTGGAGAAAGAACAAAAGCACTTAGTGTCTGCTAGGCCTATAACCCTATAACTCCACAAGCACTTAGTGTCTGCTATGCCTATAACCCTATAACTCCACAGGCAGCAGGCTTGGGCTCCCAGAAAGCCTATTGAAATAGTTACTTCCATACACAGCCCTTGTCACACAGAATATTCTCTAGGCTTTGGAGTCAAGTTTAGTTCTTCCCTATCCACTAGGTGCAGCTGCACTTAGTAGCCCTCCCTTACAAGGGTGGGAACCAAGGCTTTCATCTGAGAGATGAACAAAAAGCAGCTAAATCTGACTGCAAATTACAACAAACATCTCCTGCACATTTATACCAAACAAGAGCTGGAGCATAGACAAATGCAAACACATTTTAAAATTTAAAAGTTCTTAAACATCATAGAAATGCAAAGCAGATTAATGCTAACAGGTTGGGGAGGATGGATGTGGGACAGACATTAGCCCTGCTTATAAGGGTCATAGGAGAGAGATCATTGGGACAGAATGTTTTATCTGATTATGGTGATACATTATTACCACATGACAAACCTATAGGGCCAACACACACACACACACACACACACGGGAGAAAGTGGGAGAGGGAGGGAGGGAGTGCTACCCCTTAACCCATTCACCCATTCCTGATGAGAAACTTCATGAGAAACAACAAGGACCACTCCAGAATGCTAACTGACCCAGAGTTCATCACTTTTATACCACCCTCTTCCTGGGACTAACACTCACTGGCAGAACTGTTTGGAGGGTTCTCTTAGGAGAGACTCCTCTAGAATGTGGGAAGACACCAGCACTGACATGCCCTTCCCAAGCAAAGACTCTCAGATTTTAAGTATAGAAATATTCCACTGTAGTGCGGGACCATGTGGGGATGAGCAAGTGGGATGTGAGAACTTGGTCCTTTTCATCAATTTTGCTATGAGCTTAAAACTATCCCCAAAATCGTCTATTTTTGAAGAGTCTTCAGAGAGAAAATGAAGTCTGTTATGTTACTATGTGGAGCTGAATCTTCCAGTTAAAAGCATTTTATAAAAACCTCTAATTTACTAAAAGAGGAGTTGAAGAGAACTGAGTACTATTTCAGAGGATCTAGGTTCAATTTTCAGCACCCACAAGGTGGCTTACAACCATGTCATGCCAGTTCCAGGGGATCCAAGCCTACAAGTGGTCCATTGACATACAGGCAGACAAAATACCCAAACACATAGATAATTAATTAAATAAAAATATAAAAAGAAAGCAACAGTTTGGGTTTGGTTTTGTTTTGAGGTTTTGATGTAGCCCAGGCCCACCTGAAACTTACGATCTTTCTGCATCAATCTCAAGAGTGACAGACTTGCAGGTATGTATCACCATGCCAAGCCCAGCTGAGCACCAGCATTTAGCATTGACATTTCAGCAGTAAGTGCTGACCTGTACTGGCCTGTCACCTATCCCTCTGCTGTTCTGGAAGTGGTCACTGATAAGAGTAAATAAAGCTAAGCATTCACACAGGTACCCTTTGTGGATGTGTTCAAGTCACTAGCTTTCTGAAGTTTAGACTTAGCAATTCAATATTTCTTCCTTTCATCTCTTATCGAGAACCAGCTTAACCAAATCAGTGAGCTGCAGGCTCACTGAAAAACCCTGCCTCAAAAAACATCGTAGAAAGTGATTGAGAAAAACACGTAACACTCACATAGAGCTTCCACAGAGCTTCTAATTTGTGCGCAACATATGTGCATGCATACACACACACACACACACACACACACACACACACACTGCATAGCTTAAATCCTTTTGTCCATCCTTATTGGATGACAAATATGAACCTGAACCAAGGTGAGCTACATGGGTCTCTCATTGCAATTACACAGATCAAAGTCATGACCTTCATCCCTCTTTGGCTTCTGAGCTCCACTCATTTTCTCTCAGTATAGGCTGAACTAAGCTACTTGTGATGGTTTGTATATGCTTGGCCCAAGCAGTGGCACTATTAGGAGGTGTGGCCTTGTTGGAGTACAAGTGTCACTGTAGGTGTGGGCTTTAAGATCTCATCCTAGCTGCCTAGAAGTCAGTATTCTGCTAGCAGCCTTCAGATGAAGATGTAGAACTCTCAGCCCCTCCTGCACCATGTCTGCCTGGATGCTGCCATGTTCCTGCCTTGATGATAATGGACTGAACCTCTGAACCTGTAAGCCAGCTCAATTAAATGTTATCCTTATAAGACTTGCCTTGGTCCTGGTGTCTGTTCACAGCAGTAAAACCTTAACTTAGACACTACTCTACAAAATGCACTGTGCAAAAGTTAGTATTAGGACAAGTGACAGAATCAACTGGCATTAAACAACTCAATACAATCCATGAACCTGAATTTCCAATAAAAATGAAATGGATAAAACTATATGCCCACAAGACATTTCCAGACAGCATTTATAGTATTTTAGGAGCACTGCTGGATTTTAAATATGATTACAAAGCCAGAAATGCACAGTACAAAATATTCTATCAAAAGTAGGAACTTCAGTAGTAAAGGCATAAGCAAGAGCGAGCAAGAGAGATAGAGATAGAGATAGAGATAGCGAGAGAGAGAGAGAGAGAGAGAGAGAGAGAGAGAGAGAGAGAGAGAGAGAGAGAGAGAGACTGAATTTTGTCTTATAAATAAATGCAATAAACTGGATGAGGTAGCACGCATTTAAAGTCCTGCACAGAGCAGACTAAAACAGAAAGGTTATGAGTTTGAGACCAGCCTTGGCTACATGATGAGACAGTCTGGAAAACAAAAGAGTGATAGGAGGAGAAAAGGGTGACAGCCAGCATACCCATGATGTCAAAGTTTTGCAGGCTGCAATCTGCCTAGACATAGTCTGTGCACCTAGTAAAGATGCAGAAGGCAGAGTGGGCTACATTATATAAGGCTCTGTCTCAAAACAAACAAACAGTAAACACAAGTGGAATGAAAACTCACAAGATACTGGAAAATATGTATCTGAGAAAGGGCTAACTTAATTAGTCAGCAGACAAACGCAAATGAACCTCAGCTTGCCAATACATTCCTACACCCTAGGAGGGGGGGAAAGGAAAAGAAGGGAGGAGTCTAAGTAGAATGTGGAGAATCTAGAACCCTCATCCATCCATTACTAGTAGGGATGTGCAATAGCCTAGCTTCTGTGCAAAGAGCTTGGTAGCTCCTGAAAACATGAAATACAAAGTTATGGCATGTACTAATATTATTACTTCTAGATCACTATGGTGTGAATGTATTCCCCAGAATTCATGTGTGCAGGAAACTTGATCCTTAGAGTCCTGTGCCATTTGGAGATAATTACAATTAAATGAGGTCATAGGGGATGGAGCTCTCAGACTGACCTCTGGGGTTTTATCAGAAGAAGAAGAGAGACACAAGCCAGCATACTTGCTCGATCTTATAATTGATCCTTCCTACCACATCTGGACCCAGCACAGAGGCCCTAGCAGATGCTGAGCAGATGCCAATGCCCAGACATATTCAAGATAGTTATAAACCATGCCTATGTTAAATCTTCTATGTATACAGATGTTCACAGCAACATACTTCATTCATTATGACCTTTGGTCTGGTGGTCCATCAACTGGCAAATAACTAAGTAAAATGTTTGGTAATATATGGAAAAGGGCTCACTAATATAAAATAAATTGTTACAAAACAATGAGGAAAAACTGGGTCAAGAACATGAACGTGAGATCACAATATATACTGACTTTCTAAAAACACATAGATTCAAGGAAATGAAAATATGGCCAGGACAAATGATTTGTTCTGACTGAATTCATCAAGATTACAAAACTATAATGCTTGCTGGATTGAGGTTAGTATTGGGGAAAATGGATACCTGCTTACTTCTTAGCAGGGGAAACGGAGGTTGGTCCTACCTTAATGGGAAATCACTTGGCAATGTCACTTAGAGTCACATTTTTAAAGATGTATGCATCTTGTAGCCCAACAATTATAGTGCTAGGAATTGATCTGACAGAAACAACTGTGGCTTTTCATATTTGGCCTGATGGTTTTCAAAACACTGTGTATAGTTGACAAACTAGAGGAACCACTACACAAAATAGGTAACAGGATAAATCAAGTGTCACTGTTATATTTCAAAATAATCTACATAACAAAGAAAATAGTCTGCATATTGAATAGACATTGGTATTTAAAAGGATATCATATAGTTGGTATGGGAACACACACATGTAAATCTAGCATATAGTCAAGCTTTCCTTGAGGCTGGGGCAAGAGGACTGCCCTTAGTTTGAGAATGGCCCAAATTTTCTTTCTACAGTATACATTAAACTGAAATTTGCTTTCAGAATACACACCTATTTACACAGATAACAACACGCACTACCTAGTTCTAGAGACCCTGCCTGTAACTATAGTGACTGTCATTGCTACAGAGAGTGCCACTATAATGATAATTATATATATAGGGACCTTGTAGCTATAGCAACCACCTTTACTTGGATGGACCCTGTAGAAAAAGAGGAATTACTTCAGTAAAGAAGTTGTGCTCAGTGGCTTGAATAAATCTTGTCCCCATGGAAACTTGTGGTGAAAGTTGATTGCCACTGTGTCAGTGTAATGCTTTTGTCCTGGGATTGGGTTAGTTGCCACAAGAACAGGCTGTTACAAAGAGAGCCTGCCCTTGTGTTTTGTCTTATGGGTCTGTGCCCATTTGCCCTTTTGCTTTTCTGCTGTATCAGGGTGCAACATGAGGCCTTCACCAGATGTTGCCACCAATTTTGGTCTTCTAGCTCCCAGAACTGTGAGGTAAACACATTTCTTTCCTTTATTAATTACTCTGCCTTGGACATACTATTATAGTGAAAGAGAATGGATTAAGACGTTGTGACTAAGCTCTGTTTTCAACCTTGCTGTCAGACTTTCAGCATCTCAAATACAAAGACAACAATGCACATATAGACGTCAGCCTTGAGTCCTACAGAGCCACTTACCGGGAGAGACAGGGACACAAGACATGTGTCTGCCCTTCTCTGACGGCAGCCCAGCTCGTGGCTCACAGTGAGTGCCTGACGCATCTGGTCGTCAAGGACACAGAGAATTATGGAACAGTAGAGTGATTATGTCTACAACTGTTAGGGAAGTATTCAAGTGCTAAAGGACATTGTGAGTGTCCCAGAGTTCCAACAAGACACAGCAAGGCCTTTTAAATATTTTTAAAATGTACTTTCATTGTCTCAAAAAAGTACTAAGAGAGGTATAATTTTTTTTAAAGTCAATAAATAAAGCTATGCACGGGGATGCCACCCTTGAAACTGGAAGGCTAAGGCAGGAAGCTCGTGACATCCAGGCAAGCTGGAGATATAAAATAAAATCCTGCCAAGAAAAAAGGTAATAAACAAAAAGGGGAAAGACATTGCTGCAAATGACTTACAATTACTAAATAAAATCAAAGAGAAAAACTCTGCCAAAACATAGGATCTGGGCTAACAACCAGGGAATGTATTCTTGCTGTTGCAAAAAACTGTCACAGCCATGTTCCTCCATTTCCTACTACAAAATTGAGAATATTCTGTAGATAATATGCTGTTATCTACATTCAAACACCCAATATTTTACACACACACACACACACACTTATAAGAGAACAGCTCAGCAAAACCCCTTTGTTCATGCCGAACTCCCTGATGTTTTAGAGGGACTGTGAATGTCTGATGTGTGTCTAACACTATAGAACAGTAAGACCATCTGGCATGTGTTTCCCCATGTTAAATCCAAAAATATTGTGGCAACAACTCTAAAGAAACCTCTTTGGACCTTCTTTCATCCATACTAGGAAAAGAATGAGGCCATTGGCAAAAATGGCAACAGTCTGAGCCTAGGAAGGCCAAGGAAGGAGGAAGAACAGAGCGGTTACAAGCCACTCAGTTCAAGAGATGCTAGAGGACTTAGTTACAAACTCATTTTGAGCCAGACATAGTCTGTCAAAAATGTTGTCTTGAGGAAAAAGTATACAACGGACAATATATTACTTCAGAAATTCACTCCAGAATAACTGACGCTATATCATAAAGACTTGAGTTGGGGAAGTGAGCTAATTGAGTTTATAATTTATGGAAATGTGATGCTTCTCCTTCGCTCCCCATCATGAGCATGTTTTGGTGGAAGGGACAGTGTCTGTGCATCTCACGCATGTTTCACCCTTTGATCTTCTTTCCTGACACCTATGGTGACGGAGAGAATAACTGAAGCCAACAATTGATTATTCTTTACAAGACAAGCTCCGATATAAGCCTAATTAAAGACTTTCCTAACACTTCTTCCTTGCTAAAACAAGGACATTTAATGAAGAAAAGCCCCTGGCCTGTCATTCAGGCTTTCATTCCTGTGCATGCTTACAGACAGAACTTCTACCCTCCTCTCCCCATCTGGAAATACCAATTGTCACCCCAGAGTAATTGGCTCATTTGCTGGGTTTGCCCTTTAAATGCTCCATGTTCTCCTGACACCTGGAAGTTTCATTTAGAGGCTTTTAGGGCTTTTTCCTAGAGATGACACCATCTGTAAAGGTGTTTCTGGGGACAAATGTGACTATAGTACATTTTAAGCAACAGAGAACACTGTTTCCAGATGAAGGGCATGGTGCTTGCAAGAACAAAGCAAATGCTAGACTTCAGCCAGGACTTGGGGAGAGCAGTCTTGACATTCACAACTTGAATTCTTCGGACCCTACTACAATTTTTCCATCACAACACGAATAATAAACAAAGGGTTTCAAACACCATAACTTATCATTCTAACATCTTGTTACAAGCAATTATGTCAGAGGTCACACTTGTAGCATCTATGGGTTCCAACAGTAACTTGTTTTGCCACACCACAAGACTCAGACTTCTCACCCCATACTTAAATCCAATTTGACAAATTTATTTATGGGGGAACAACAAACATGTGGCTTAGAAGGACATAACTATTCAGGGGCAGCATGCAGAAGACATTTTATGATAATCTCTTCCTGGTTGCGGTAATGATTATTGAAATCTATACATGTGATAAAATTTCACACGCACACACACACACACACACACGTAAGATGAGACTGGACACAATTTCCATAATGTCAATAGGAGACTTTACTGTACAGATATCAATTTCCTATCTAGAACAACAAACTATGGTTCTGCAATAGAGGCTCCTTGGGAAAAGTTGGATGAAGAGTACATAGTAGTTTTCCAGAACCATTTTAAAAGTCTTACCAGTACTAAATTATTTTTTAATACAAAGGTCTTTTGAGGGTTTTTTGGGGAAGGGGGGTTAGTTGGTTGTTTTTTCTTATGTTTTGTTTTGTCAAAACAAAAGACTAGTTCAAAACTTCTAGAGAGTCTGATCCCGTGGTTTAATTTTCTTACACATTTGAACACAGTCAAACTTCATGGATGGCTACATCAAAATTTTGTTGCAAAGTAGCAAAGCACCTGTGATCTTTACAGTAAGAATGAATTCTACTGGCTGATAAACAATGCTCAGGGCTAAGGCCTGGTGAGGAAGGATGTGGGATTTGTGTGTGTGTGTGTGTGTGTGTGTGTGTGTGTGTGTGTGTGTGTGTGTGTGT